CATAATATACGCATTAATCATGTTCCACTTATTGCATGTTCAGTATTATTGTTACTAACAACCAAAAGTAATTGCTTAATAATGTATAATGCAATGACGTAACTTATAAATTATTACTTTAAATTATTAATTTGTTCAAATAAAGATATGACTCCATTTGAATTTGATAAATCAGAGAGGGTCTTGCTCCTATACTTAAAAGTATAATGAAGATACTTACTATTATTATAAACGCGGAGTTTGTATGTATGGATGTTTGTTATTGATTGGTGTTGATATAAAAACATATATATAAAAGAAAGTCGTGTTAGTTACTCCACTTATAACTCAAGAACGGCTGAACCGATTTAGCTGAAAATTGTCAGGGAGGTAGTTTAGAGCCAGGAGAAGGACATAGGATACTTTTTATCCCGTTCGAAATTAAAAAAAAAGTCTGCTTATTTATTGCCATTAAGGCGGAACAAAGTTCGCCGGTTCAGCTAGTAAAATTATAAATAAGAGACCATAATTATTTATCTCTGTCGTTTTATTATGTTTGATTCGTTTTCATGTAGAGAGTTCTTTGATTTGCTCTTTTTGTAACCTCTCTTTTTGCCTAACTAAATTCTCACCCTTAAATCAGTAATAATAATTAAATTAAGCATGTTTGGAGAAAGGAATAGTTTCACTTGGTCGTACGTAATCACTTGGTAGGTACATACATACCTAATGTACTTAGGTTAATTAAAATTGATTGAAACTCTTTAATTGTTCAAAGTAGATTACGATTTAATCTACTGTCTTATCCATTACTACTTGTAAATATATGTAAACTTTAATAATGCATAGCAATTAATGTATTTAATCAATAAGCATAATATACGCATTAATCATGTTCCACTTATTGCATGTTCAGTATTATTGTTACTAACAACCAAAAGTAATTGCTTAATAATTGGTCCATGTATAATGCAATGACGTAACTTATAAATTATTACTTTAAATTATTAATTTGTTCAAATAAAGATATGACTCCATTTGAATTTGATAAATCAGAGAGGGTCTTGCTCCTATACTTAAAAGTATAATGAAGATACTTACTATTATTATAAACGCGGAGTTTGTATGTATGGATGTTTGTTATTGATTGGTGTTGATATAAAAACTAGTAAACGGATTTTGCTAAAACTTTTTATCTACTACTAGCTGACTCGGCGAACTTTGTTCCGCCTTAATGGCAATAAATAAGCAGACTTTTTTTTTAATTTCGAACGGGATAAAAAGTATCCTATGTCCTTCTCCTGGCTCTAAACTACCTCCCTGACAATTTTCAGCTAAATCGGTTCAGCCGTTCTTACTTACTACCTACCCTTTTTCACATGAACGCGTAGAGATATTAAAGTTGAAATTCATATCAAACACTTCTTAAATCTAATTGCCTCTAAACTGTGAGAAATTCTAAATCAACGCAAAAATTCAAAACGCTGAGGTAGGTACCTACCTATAATGCAAATATAGGAAAAATAAATAAATAAAAAATAATCATACCGCATATTTTGAAATTCGCCACTACTCGCAACGGAATCAAGTAAGTAATTTGATTTAATACGTCATAAATTGTAAACCGCTACGTTTGTACGGCGGAACCCTCGGTGTGCGAGCCCGACTCGCACTTGGCCGGTTTTTTTTGTAAAATCTTGTAATCGCAAGTAACACATCATTTTTTTATTTAAAATTACAAAATAGAAAATTATAATTTTCATACAAAATAAATTTTATAAAATCCGATTTATATGAAAATTAAAATAATTAAAATGAAGATATCAATTTTCTGACTTCACCATACCATTTATATGACCATGTTAACATGGCCTAGTGTCGGCTCATATACCCATTTACCTAACACCCTGTATATAGATATAAAAATAAGTCGGGTTTTCCTCCCTGACGCTATAACTCCAGAACGCACGAACCGATTTCCACGGTTTTGCATTCGTTGGAAAGGTCTCGGGCTCCGTGAGGTTTATAGCAAAGAAAAATCAGGAAAAATTTAAAGGGGATAAAACGGGATCCACGCGTACGAAGTCGCGGGCGGCCGCTAGTTGTTTATAGATCAAAACCACATTATAGCTAGGCTCTAATTTATAACGATCTGTGACAAACTAATTTAAAAGCGGGCGAATTTGCGGGGTAAAGCTAATATTTTTCATGATTTCTGTAAGGATTTTAGAGAGGTACCAGATTCTTACAAACATCTCAACTTAATCGGATTTCCTATTACCGTTATAGGTAAACCAATAAATTGATTCGCAACAAGTAGTTAAGTATTCCCGTAATTTGGTCTACTAAATAATAAATTCCCAATTCCACTCGAAGAAAGCACAATTTTCCCGTTTTCCCGGTAGTACCGTTAATTTAGACGGGAAAGAGTTAACATTGACATAGGTTTACCGATCAGACCCATGGCTCATCAACCTTGGAGGTTATTTTGGGAGGTTACCCTTTTCTACCTACTTGAGATACTGAAATATGTAAGGTAATATGGGGCAACTTCTAAATTATGGAAGTTAATTTCGCACGCGTCTTTGAATAATCCTTCTGGCGCAGTCGGGTAAAAAGGGATATGAATAATAAGTCAATTCAAGAAACATCATTAATTAAAGATATTTAATAGTACCTCATAAAGGTAGTGGGAAGGCGTTGGATGCAGGCCGCCACCAACCGGCCATTGTGGAAATCATTGGGGAGGCCTATGTTCGGCACTTCAGCAGTGGACGTCCTCTGGCTGAAAGATGATGATGATTTACTGGTAACAAATCCCACAATCACTGCAACTGCTGTATAGCCAGATGGAAGCTATAAACCAGTGTGGTTAATGGTACCAGATAGGTACCTGGGCACCAACACTGGACATACATGAATATTAAGTAGGAATACATACGAGAATTGTCGCCCAGGTATTCATACATGTAATTTACCAGAATCCTTGGAATAAAAGAAACCAATGACGGATTACTTCTGACTTATGTAAGGAAGTTTGGACGTTCATTGCTGTTTACTTCGTAACTTCCTGATATAGGTAATTTTAGTTGATTCAACAAAGTTAGGGCAGTGTTGTTTTACGGTTACCGTGTTTATTTGTATCGGTATAGTTTGACCGTCAAACAGGACAATAATATGTTTGACTTGGTAACGATAAAAATAACTTTCACCAAAGTTTAGTAACTACAGTAATGCGCGTTCTTTTATACATAGGTATTCCTAATATTAAACAGCCGAATTAAACTATCGGCCGACAAAACGTTTGTAGACTGCGGGTCTCTTATAATTACGAGCAATGCGGATAGCACCCCTATCCCCTAGTTATGGACAGTGTGGTGGCGCCAAATAGTCCCTAAGAAAATGCTTCTTCGAAAATATCTCTACCCCAAGGATTAAGAAAATTGACAAGAGAAAACCCCATTGATTGATGGAAACCAAACCACAACCAAACTGAGCAGGGAAAAACAAGTGCGAATCGGAGTCGTAGCCGAAAGTTCTGCACCGCCCTTGCTAGGTTTCTTATCGCAAAGAAGATGATAAAATAAACTTCATTGAAGTTTGAAAAACAGTCTCCTATACCTACCACTAGAACTAATATTTTGCTCGTTAAGTAAGTTAACATTATAACCTCATTTAATTATAATTAAAGTCTCTGTTCTTTTCAAATATTAAGGCAGGATAGTATTTTATTTCCTTACGAATTAGGAAGGGAACCTTAACATATTCACGAAAATAATTAACTTCCGAAATTAATAGATTCCAAGAACGGCATAGAATTTCCGATTCCATTAGGAACTCCGCATCGGCCAAACTTTATCGCGATTAACGATGTTTGCCTTTGTTTTGTTCCACTGTTTGTCTTCCATCTTCCTTATATTAAGCAATAATTAATAAAATTCAGTCGACTGTGAATTTGTTGAGTCATTTGTCAAGATCTGTATTCACTTTATAGTGAGCTAGCTGACCCGAACTTTATTCATCACTACATTAGGTACATAATTTGTCCCTATGTAGGTATGCTTAGATCTCTAAAACTACGCAATTGATTTTGATGCGGTTTTTTTAATAGATAGAGTGATTCAAGTGGCAGGTTTATTATGTAGGTATGCTTAGCCGTGCGAAGCCGGGACGGGTCACTAGTCAGAAATAATGCAGGATTCTAATGGTGAAATAATTTTTCAAATTGATCGGGTAGTTTCAGGGCCTGTTCAATACAAACAAACAACCTTTCCTCTTCATAATATTAGTGTTAATGTCAACTACTTTCCAACAACTCAAACGTTCAACTGATAAAACGAAAGCTTACATACCATAAATAAATGCAGCCTGCGGAAGTACACCGTGCAAACTGCAGTTGCACCCCCCCGGTCTGCAAGGCTCGCTACGGATGTCCGCCCCAGGAGTTATCTTGGGTCACCCATCCTGCTTTGTTTACACTTGCGAGCCTTCGCTGAATAAAAGTAGTATAATATTGTAGTACTGCATCAATGTTTTCGCTGTTATTGGTACACTAAAAGTAGTCTAATAATGACGTAGGAGTGTATCAGCTGTTTTATGGTACACGAGGATACTTTACTCTGTTTTAAAAGTTAATGTGGACATACCTTCGTGGGACAAGTGAATCTTTCCCTGATTTGTTTACACTTGCGAACCATCGCTGAATAAAAGTAGGCTGCAAAGGGTAGTAAATACTCTTTTCTGTTTCTCGTAGCCGTAGGACTGTATTGTATCAGCAAAGGTTTCAAGCTGCACAATGGCGCTTTATTCACTCTGTTTCAAAAGTTAATGTTGACAGTTGATATGCAACGCGGGGCTATTAAAACAAGCTTTGTGTCGCAGAAAGTGGCAAAGTCGCAGAATGGATGTTACAGGCTCTCTCACTATCAGACACGGAGACCACGATCCCTTTCTTCAATGAAGATAGGTTCTCCAACATGAGAAATCATGGATGGGAAACTATATCCCGAGATGTACAAGAGTTTATGTGGGCCATGCCCGGCGGCACTGCAATGCCGGGCCGACCCGTGGGAGGAGTGGAGCAAGCCCCGGTCTCCATCCCGAGATACAAAAATCAGTTTAATATACTGGTCCCTCAGTGAGGGAACTTTCAGATATTAAGCTGAAAAGAACAGATACTACACTTTGATCTTAGCCAAAAGGCCGAGAAGCGATACTGACGGAAAGATACGCTGGGGTAGTCTTTGCAGGAAAAAAAATCTGGACACCGCGGTTCAGGAATTACACGCTTAATGTAGTAGCGCCATCTAGCCACAAGCATGTACATCAAAAGCGCCATCTAGTGAAATTTATTGGAACTGGTTCTTAAAGCAAGTCTCTAAAGCAAATCTATTGTCATTTTTTGCAAATGACAGTTACATTGGCTTAATGTTTTTAAAAATGAGACAAGATGATATTTTTTTAGAATTTATAAAATACATTACGTTTATTTCTTAATATTGACAAGGTTTTTAGGTTCCTCGCCAAGTCTTAATTAGATTATTGGCATTTTAACTAGTTAATTCTCATCCTACAATCAACACAACTACCTATATATTTTAGTCTAGATGCCTAGTGGCAAACAAAAATTTAAGGCAATAGAAATCAAGATTTTTTTGTTAATAATAACTACCGTAACTACGGTACTTATTAGGTAAACAATATTCTTCATTAGGAGTGTTTTAATGTACTGTTATCAGTCTGTTACTAACCGTGTGTCGAGGAAGCGATGCGTTTTCGCGCGCTGATCACGCCATTCCTGTGGCTAATGGGATAATTTGGTTCCGCGGTGCAGGGCAGGGGTCCGACCCTCGGGTATTGGCATTTCAATAGCATTGATTGGATTCCACACATTGTCATTTGTGAACAAAGATCATATTGTTAGTCAAGCATAAATTGATGCATTGGTAGGCATGGACCTATAAAAAAAGTCGGACGGAGTCTCATCAACAAAATACTGTGACATTAGGATACACCAGCTTGCCTGTACGTACAGGCCGGCACGCACACATTCACACCCTGTTACACCACTTCGAGAGCAAACTTCACACAGTTGACACATTTAAGCAGCGAAAAAACAACACGAATACGACATGTCTTGTGTGATGAAATTATGTAAAAACCGTTCTGTTCGAACAAACAAAAATTAAGGAATCACATTTCACAGGTAAAATAATAATCCAATCACTTATTTCCCGACATTAAAATATTGAAATTAATTGAAATCAAACGTCATTCACTCGAAAAAATAATACGTCAAAGACCAGTGTTCTCAGTTATTTACGTGGGAAAATTACCCGAAATATGGGAAATTAATAATGATTTTAGGACTTTTTAGTTATGTATTACGCATACTATGGAAATAAAATAATTTATCATAATTATTGTGTTTTAATGGGATATATTTTCATAGGCAAATTTGATCCTTCCCAAAAATGTGGAACTGCGAAATTCAAATTTTCTTACATTGATTGCAAGTCAGTGTCAGGTTGTATGTTAAAAAATATCTATCAGAGATAATAATAATATATTGATGATGCATAAGATTATGATTATAATGTACACAAGATTCGTAATTTGTAACTGCGTGAATTATTTTTGATCAACATTATGTACATACCCTGACACACTGACTTGCAAACAATGTAAGAAAATTTGAACATTGAAAATTTCGCGCCTACCTCAACGCATTACACCTTTCATCCTTTTAAAATGGCACGGAATAATTCTGTCTACATTTCCAAGTAACATCTGCCGATCTATGTTTTTCTTAAAATAAATGGGTAAAATGTTTTGGCTAACATGGCATCCCTAAATTCACTCACACAATAGACAAACGCCAAAATTTTGCGTCACAGTTTTGTTGTAGCGCGAGTTCCGTCCGCCTTTTTTTATAGGTCCATGTTGGTAGGTATATGCATATTGTGATTTTCCGTTATTTCAATTTGTAATAATCTGATAGGAAACTGAAGGTATAGATCATTACCGTCAGACGTGAAAATATACACTTCATTGATGGAGTATTTTAACGCTTTTCACTTTTCTTCTGTAGCATTTATGGTGTTTACATTATAACTCCTTGTAAAATGGCAATCAGTTTAAATCTGAAATTACCAAATTCTCGTTATTTTTAAGCGCTAGATTTAATCACTTATTGTCTTACCAGGCAAAATTTAAAAGAAAAAAATATTATAATAATTGGGAAAAAATGCTATAGATGGTACGAACTCATTATTCGTATTAAAAATACAATACGTAACAATGCAATAGAAAAATAATAGCATCGGATCACAACGGTACTTATCTACCTACTTGTACTAAAATAATCTTCATGCACAGTGCACACGCCTTCTGTAAGAATGAACTTGCTTTAAGAACCAGTTCCAATAAATTTCACTAGATGGCGCTTTTAATGTACATACTTGTGGCTAGATGGCGCTACTACATTAAGCGTGCAATTCCTGAACCGCGGTGTCCAGATTTTTTTTCCTGCAAAGACTACCCCAGCGTATCTTTCCGTCGGTATCGCTTCTCGGCCTTTTGGCTAAGATCAAAGTGTAGTATCTGTTCTTTTCAGCTTAATATCTGAAAGTTCCCTCACTTAGGGACCAGTATATTAAACTGATTTTTGTAACTCGGGATGGAGACCGGGGCTTGCTCCACTCCTCCCACGGGTCGGCCCGGCATTGCAGTGCCGCCGGGCATGGCCCACATGAACTCTTGAATAACATGGGAAACAATTTCCTATAAAAGCCGTCACTATGATGATAATTTTCCAGAATCTTGACTTCTGTCTTGTTCTCTTCTTCATTATTTTCGGCAGCACTTCAACACTTCTTCAAGCTTAAATACCGTGGTATCAGTGGTATCGTCGTAGTAACAAGTGTCATTGTACCAACTCATTATTCTTATTAAAAATATTTATTTTGCCCTTGTAAGTTAACACTACAAGGGCATAATAATAAGTGCATCAGATCACAACGGCCGCGGCACGACAACGGTATGTTTCCAAAAAAATAAACTCCATGTTTTGCTAATAGATCAAAAGGAATTGGTTTTAAGAACTAGTCCCAATAAATCTCACTAGATGGCGCTTTTAATGCACATACTTGTGGCTAGATGGCGCTACTACATTAAGCGTGCAATTCCTGTACCGCGGTGTCCAGATTTTTTTTCCTGCAAAGACTACCCCAGCGTATCTTTCCGTCAGTATCGCTTCTCGGCCTTTTGGCTAAGATCAAAGTGTAGTATCTGTTCTTTTCAGCTTAATATCTGAAAGTTCCCTCACTGAGGGACCAGTATATTAAACTGATTTTTGTATCTCGGGATGGAGACCGGGGCTTGCTCCACTCCTCCCACGGGTCGGCCCGGCATTGCAGTGCCGCCGGGCATGGCCCACATAAACTCTTGAATAACACGGGAAACAATTTTCAATAGACGCAGTCTCTGTGATGATAATTCCCAAGATCTTGACTTCTGTAGTCTGCCTTCATTATTTTCTTTCAGACTAGCTAAATACCTTAGGTACCATGGTATGCATACAGGTGTCATTTTGCAAAAAAGAAAATAATTTCCTGTGTTAGTTGGTATACAAACGGCAGCGTTTCAAGCTAAATTACTGGTATTTCTTTATTATTTATCTTGTGTTTCTTGTAGAAGGAATAAGGCACCGACTACTTATTAATTTGTTCTTGTATATTTCGGGGTAAGCAAATAACTGAAGCAGAAAAAATACACCAAATCAACCAGCAATAAAAACAACAGTAACATGTGATTGAAATAATGTATATTTTTACATTCTTCAGAATCAATAAAATAATCATTTTAATAGCCTATGATTACAAAAAATAATTGTTCCTACAATAGTTAGAAAAATAATCATTTCATACATTACACAGTTTTCACCGCATTTTAAATCCAAACGCATCTTTGTTACATTAAAATTTTAAAATTCATTACATATTTACACTGTGAACATTGTCACATAATGGAATACTTAATAAAAAAATTGACTATTTTAGCTTTTATTCATATTAAGATAAGTCTTAAAATTATGTCATGTTTTGGAGATAGCTACCGTTGAAAACCAATGTTTAGTACATGACAAAACTAAACCAATCGCTATAGACTAACTAGGAAATCTATTAGTGGACTTTTGGATATTCAAACTTTGATAGTAAGCTATATATATTAATATATTAAACTTAATAAATAATTAAAAACATTAACTATAATCTTGGTAAATTTCGTCGAAATCAAAATAATATAACTGTTAATTTTATTGTAATTTTTTGAGCACCTCATGGATAATTTTTTTATAAACAACGTAAAATTATAACTTGTGAATAGTATTTCATTTAAAATTTCCCGTTTATGATTACAACGTATCATGTAGTGATTTCATTGTACTAGTCAAATATTTTTATGACTATAATTAGTTACTATAGACTGATCGATGTTGCAATAGGCCAATCTCGATATTACTGAATGTGGTAACAGTATTTTGGCTTTGTGGTGACCCTGTCAAAGATTAGTTTTAAATACAGAAGAGAAAATTGGCAACAACACTTCCTAAATCTAGTTAAAGTTGGCACATAAAATATTTTAAATTCACATCACATTTTTTCGCACCGAATATTGCATATAGTTTATAATAGATTTATGATTATAAATACGTACACAAATATTACAGTAATGCGTCCTAAGGTAAAATGTTCAGTGTTTATTGAAATAATAGATAATGCATATCTTGTAAAAGTTGTTGATAAAATTTCATTGAATAGACGATAGGCCTACATCGAATTTTACAATTAAATTCTTAAATTATTATTTATTTATGTAAGAAACGGAAATGAAACTAGGTAAATGATTCATGAATTAAACGAATTAAGAATCCCATTATAAAACACGATAGTGTACTATTTACAAGTGCGCATTCTTACATGTGATAAATACTTGGCAAGCCTTATTATAAACAAAGTACACGTAACATTAAGATTCTGTTAAATCGAACTGCATAGATAACTCGTTATCTACGTGAGAAATAGCTTACATTTGTTTAACTGTACATACAAAAGTAAGTAAACTGCGTATTCGATTAGTAACTTTCATAGCGACGATAAAATAAAATTGCATCGTTATTTGACTCGGCAGAGAGTATAGTCTGGTCTGCGAGCAGCAAATTTTGTCCAATGACCCCAAGCTACCCATCCTTATCGCTCGCGCGTAATATTGCTGTCGCGACTGTGCGACGGGCGCCCGCAGTGTGTGTGCAATGGGTAGCTTGGGGTCATTGGACAAAATTCTACGTGCTCACAGACTGGGCTTTAGTTAAGATTCAGATGCGTCGCTTCAACGAAGACGCGTGGAATCGGAGACGTGTCGTCTCGCTCACAGCGATCTTGCGTCTCGCTCGGGCTAGAATGTGGCGTCCCAACCTGAGAGGTCGTCGGGCGGAGGCTCCTCGCCGTCGGGCGGGTACTGGTCGAAGTTGTGGGTGTCAATGGCGGACTTTACGACTGGCGTGATGGGCGGGTCAAGGGTGCGCTGCGCCAGGCCTTCCCAGTTGAAGCCGTCGAACCATCTGGAAAACGAGATTAGTTAATTAGGAAAAAGACAGAACACAGCAAAGACTTTGAAGATTGCTTTCCTTGACAACTGACTAAAACTAAAATTATGATTAAGAATTTAGCAGAATTAATTGTAAAGTAAGGATAAAGTACCTACTAAAGTAGGGTCGCCGAGCACGTAGAATTTCGTCCAATGACCCCGAGCTACCCATCCTTATCGCTCGCGTGTTATTTATATCACTGTCGCGCTCGCACACTCACTGCGGCCGCCCGTCGCACAGTAGCGACAGCAATATAATAAATACGCGCGAGTGATAAGGATGGGTAGCTTGGGGTCATTGGACGAAATTCTACGTGCTCGGCGAGCGGACTATATACATAAAACTAAATACTTAGGCATCTCGATAAGTGCTAAGTAATTCTGTCACTCATGGGTGATGTAATAATGATTTGATGAAATAACTTTCGGTGATCACCTAAAATAGAGGAAAATGGGTTTCAATGCGACATTTTTATATGAGTTTATACCTCAGATCAAAATATGAATGAACCTCAGATAATAGTATCTGAGGTTCATACTTACCTACACACGGCTTGACTCATATTTTAGTTGAAATAGAATGCGAAAGTTTAAAATCTTTCGGTGATTAGTCTACTAATTTCATAAAATCGTTATTTCATCGAAGATGGGATAATTTATCGATGGGTCATTTCTTATCAAGGTCATTTGACCGACCAGTGGCCTAATTCACGTATTTTGACTCAAAAAATCTCGCTGACGTTAGAAGTTGTAAAACAGTTCTAAGTCATTTCGATGGAACGATTACTCGATAGGATCGCAACTCAGCGATTTGTTGTCGTTGAAGTTTTGTTACGTGAATAAGGCTACTGTCCTGAACGTCCCAATAAAAATATTATAAACACTCACTTGTGCTTCTGTATCTCGGTGATGCCTCCCCGCTGGTATCCCAGCCGTTCCGCAGGGTTGTCGCGGCACAGTTTCTTGATCAGATTGGCGGCGTTCCGCGTGATGCAGCGGGGGAATTCCACCGCGTCTATGCGGTACGAAGTTCGCCGGGTCAGCTAGTTAAAAATAAATTAAACTCACTTGTGCTTCTGTATCTCAGTGATGCCTCCCCGCTGGTATCCCAGCCGTTCCGCAGGGTTGTCGCGGCACAGTTTCTTGATCAAGTTGGCGGCGTTCCGCGTGATGCAGCGGGGGAATTCCACCGCGTCTATGCGGTACGAAGTTCGCCGGGTCAGCTAGTTAAAAATAAATTAAACTCACTTGTGCTTCTGTATCTCAGTGATGCCTCCCCGCTGGTATCCCAGCCGTTCCGCAGGGTTGTCGCGGCACAGTTTCTTGATCAAGTTGGCGGCGTTCCGCGTGATGCAGCGGGGGAATTCCACCGCGTCTATGCGGTACGAAGTTCGCCGGGTCAGCTAGTTAAAAATAAATTAAACTCACTTGTGCTTCTGTATCTCAGTGATGCCTCCCCGCTGGTATCCCAGCCGTTCCGCAGGGTTGTCGCGGCACAGTTTCTTGATCAAGTTGGCGGCGTTCCGCGTGATGCAGCGGGGGAATTCCACCGCGTCTATGCGGTACGAAGTTCGCCGGGTCAGCTAGTTAAAAATAAATTAAACTCACTTGTGCTTCTGTATCTCAGTGATGCCTCCCCGCTGGTATCCCAGCCGTTCCGCAGGGTTGTCGCGGCACAGTTTCTTGATCAAGTTGGCGGCGTTCCGCGTGATGCAGCGGGGGAATTCCACCGCGTCTATGCGGTACGAAGTTCGCCGGGTCAGCTAGTTAAAAATAAATTAAACTCACTTGTGCTTCTGTATCTCAGTGATGCCTCCCCGCTGGTATCCCAGCCGTTCCGCAGGGTTGTCGCGGCACAGTTTCTTGATCAAGTTGGCGGCGTTCCGCGTGATGCAGCGGGGGAATTCCACCGCGTCTATGCGGTACGAAGTTCGCCGGGTCAGCTAGTTAAAAATAAATTAAACTCACTTGTGCTTCTGTATCTCAGTGATGCCTCCCCGCTGGTATCCCAGCCGTTCCGCAGGGTTGTCGCGGCACAGTTTCTTGATCAAGTTGGCGGCGTTCCGCGTGATGCAGCGGGGGAATTCCACCGCGTCTATGCCCTTGAGGATCTTGTTGTAGATCTTCATGGGGTCGGCGCCCGTGAACGGCGGGGATCCAGTGAGCAGCTCGAACATGAGTACACCTGGAAGATGAGACAAAGTTTATTTAGATCAAGTGAATATTTGATATTCCCGAACCTATGCAACTCGAAGGCTTTCGAGGCACGAGTGAAGTTTTCTGGACACACTCGCTCCACCATAAATTACATCTGAGGGCTTAGTGTGAGTTTACATCAAACGTCACTAGCAAGCGCGTTAAAAAAAAATGAAGATTTTAGTTCTTGAAAGTTTCCGATAAGGGCGCTGTACAATCCGTCATACATTTAATGTCACTTTTTTACGCAGTCTACATCAAATTGCGTAAACTCACACAACGCCCACTGAAGACCCTTGGTGATATTTTTAGGAACATTTATAAGAGAACATCAGTTTTAACCGGATCCCTCATTTGCCTAGAGTGTCGTGCTCTTACTTTGGAGATGTAATGATCTTACCTAAGGACCAACAGTCCGCGCTGATGTCGTGGCCGCGGTTCATGATGACCTCGGGCGCGACGTACTCGGGCGTGCCGCAGAAGGTCCAGGTCTTGCGGCTGGCCTGCAGCTTCCTTTAAGGATGCCGATGATGATCCAGCTTACCTAAGGACCAATAGTCCGCGCTGATGTCGTGGCCGCGGTTCATGATGACCTCGGGCGCGACGTACTCGGGCGTGCCGCAGAAGGTCCAGGTCTTGCGGCTGGCCTGCAGCTTCTTGGAGAAGCCGAAGTCCACCAGCTTCACGTAGCCCTTCGAGTCCAGTAAAAGGTTTTCTGGTTTGAGATCTCTGTAAATGGAAAATGGAGAATTTAAACATAGATTGAGAGGCGAGATCTAATATGAAATGACTGATGTTCAGTAAGTCGTCAACCTTGAACTAAAATAATTTCTAATTTTGTCTTCGATCGTTCGTTCGTTTCAGCCGAAAGACGTCCGCTGCTGGACAAAGGCCTTCCCCAAGGATTTCCACTTTGTGGAAAATTTTGTCTATTTTAAGAGTTTTGTGGTATACCTAGGTAAATTAAATATGTTTTTTTCTTACATACCTATAAATAATATTCCTAGAATGTAAATAGTGGAAAGCTTCAACAACACACGCAGTGTAGAACCTAGTGGTAGCATCGTCAAATTGTCCTGAAAAAAGAAGAAATAACATTTTAAATACTAATATTTTGGATAAAAAAAAAATCAATTTGAGATACAACTCTCAGAAATACTTGAATGAAAATTAACAAATTATGAATACAGGCTTATTTTTCAAACATAAGCCAATTTCCAAGAAGGGTTTTTTATGATCATTGATCCCATGGGTAGTGAAAGTTGTTTAAAATAGTGAGTTGGTAATGTCTTAGAAACATTCCTGATCCTATTTTTTTACTTTTTTTTTCAATTTTTTCGTAATTTGTGATAAATTGGTAACTGGTTAAATCTTACCTCTGTCTCTTAAAATAGTCCACAATTCGCCTCCGAGACAAGTTTCCATCAGCATGTACAAGTATTTTCTATCCTTGAACGTCTTGAACAGTTTCACTATAAACTCGCAGTTCATCTCCGACATGATTTCCTTCTCCGACATGATGTGCTGTTGCTGTCTGGTTTCAACGATCTGGGCTTTCTGCGAAGAGGATAATCTTTGGTCAGACAATGTACGACTTGATTTCATCAATGGGATAATTTGTGTTGTGCCTAGCACATAAGAAACACTTAAACCTGAAATAAGTACTGTCTTAGACTTGACTCGTGTAACCTAGCTACTTTTAAGGAAATTGTACAGGTAGGTACATTTGAATGTCCTTATTTACGTCAAGTGATTTGTAAAAGTGACATAAACGTGATGTTAACCATTTCGCGGCTGAATTAAAATCACGCACTGAATCCTACTTTTTTTGACAATTAAGTTTATTAAAACCTAAAAAATTATAGGCTGAGGACAATTACACAGAGATTTTTAAAATTCGTCCCACCTGTAGGTCTTTAATTTATGAACGGATCAGGAGAATTCAACTAACTCTTTCCATGCCAATTCTCTCCTGATGCCGTTTTATATCTGCGCCAGAACTCTCTCATATTTTATCCACGGATCAACGAAAGTATAAAATTTTCTCATACCTTCATCTGCTTCAGAGCGAAGGACCGGCTGGAGTCGTTCTGTATCTGCACCAGCTCCACGCGCCCGAAGCCGCCGATACCTAAAGTTGCGATTATCCGCAGGTCAGAGAGGCGGAGGTTGGCGAACTCCTCGTTTAATCTGGAATGGATTGGAAGTTAAGGTTATTGTGGGAATTTGATGACGGGGATGGGTGTCACGAGATCACTAACTTCTGGTGTGGTACCTATGAAGTATTATACTTAGACATTCATTGCCCATTATAAGTAGCTATGTTTAGAAAATAAATGTATTGTCCAAATATTTGGACGTCACACCATTTCATTCTTATTTGGACACATTCAATATTAAAGAAGAATTTATAATTTTAAAGAGGACATGCTCGTTCGGCATGAGGCGTACCTGACGACACGCATAGTAAATTAAACCAGAGAGATTCTTAAGACGAATCTAGAATTGTGTTTATAATTTAATTTTTGATTGTCCAATGTTTTTGCAACATACCAATTACAAACAGTTCAGTTACTTAATATTACTGTAACGTTATTAGAAATGCCCCTTAGAAACAGTACCTATTTGTTCATATCGAAAGCTAAGTTATTGCTTGTCCGTAAGTCATGAGACCGAAAGTATTCAGTTTCTTTGCTTATTGTTTAAAAACTAAAACAAAAGCCAGGTGTAACAAACAAATCTTCGAGTCAATTAACTCTGTAACCAATCTAATTTAACAGCTTTCCTAACATCATTCCCATTTAATTGATATGTCTTTGTCCGCCACGTGTCAGTCTATTACACTGTCTCATTGTACCCATTGTCTTTGGATCTTCCTACAAAAACATGGGAGTTTACCTTTTTAACTATTCTAGCCGTTAATCAACATTTCTATAGCAGATGAAAGTTAATAATCGCCAATTACTTCCACTAATTACAATTTGACTTTGACAATTTAATTTTGATTTCTCGACGACTGCTGAAATGAACTTACCATTAAATCCTCAGTAGTGTGCGTAAAAAAAGAAAAGGATTAGTGAGTGAAATCGAGACATTTCATATCTGAAATTGGCTATTGTTCAGCTCGCAAAAAGTGCATGCCGATTCCGACACAAAGGAGTTATGTTGCATAGGAGCCATTGTCAGAACTATCGGGGGTTTCGGCTCTGTGTGAACTTGGACATACTGGACTTAAACACAGAGGGCACATTTACAAGTGCCTTACTAAATAGACGTATAAACCAGATTGCTACGAGAATACATCTCTACCACATTTTCATTTGTACGCCATTTTGGCCTAAGATTTCAATTATTTTCACAAAAAAACCTTTATTTTTACAGACTGGTCATAAATAATTTTAAACTTTTGCAATAACATACTACGGCTAAACCGCCGCGGTTTTTAACCGCGTGATTTTATAACCAAGTAAAACTAACGCAGGCGTCTGCGCTGCGACTTTTTCCCGTGTAGGTATACGTTTCGGGGGTTCTCGCGGTTTGGCTGTTTACCGATTGCGGGATAAAACCGTAGTGCGGACCTGAGTCCGCTCTACGGTTTTATCCCGCAATCTGGAATATAGAGGTATTTTTTCGTCGTTAATCTGAATTAACGACGAAAAAATACCTCTAGATTCCAGAATGATTCTTAAAATGTCACTACTAGAAGATTTTTTTGTATAAATAAATTACTTACATTTTTAGCTTTTTTATAGAGACCTGTGATTTCTTATGCATAGAGAAGAGTGTAGTACTTTCTGTATCTAACTTCATTGTGATATACCCGAAGAAGCATGTTTATACGCCAATAATAGGCGCTAAAAATGGCTTAAAATAGTTCTCGTGCACTTACAACACACTCTTTAGCAATTCAACTGGAGAGACCTTGATTACTTTGCTTCATAACTAGATACGTATGTATTACTATTTGTATTCAAATAACGCAATAAAAGATATTAGTTGCATCCTAGTAATAATTTATGTTATTAATGGGGGGCTAGGTAATTAATTTAGATGTTATGTTTGAATACCACAATAGTTAATTGTCTTCTCGATTATAAGTTAATATGTATGACTAAGGAGAAATATCTTACAAGTCAATCTATACCAATAACTATTTAGGTAGAAATAAGAACTATTTGGGTTTACTTTAAATTGATTTGTTTTGATTTAAAGAATGACTGGTTGAAAGTTTTTTCCAACTTGTATTTCCTAGTACGGACATGACTCATGAACACAATCAAATAAAGCTTATATTTTTTGTGACCATTAATCGATTTTCAATAGATTTTTTGTTTGGTGTATTTTTAGCTCAACTTTGTGGTAAGTAAATAGTGCTAAATTGTCATAAAATTAACAATGTATTGACTCTATTTTTAGAATAATATGTACTTAAATTATCCACATTGAGTGTGATATTAAATATGATAAAATACCATAATCTTAATTTTCTACAAAAAATCCCATTCGAGATATTACATAATTTATGTATAAAAACCCATAAAGGCCTTTATAACTGTTTTCCTACAAGAAGTAACCGCCTCTGTGGTCTAGTGGTAAGACCACCTGCTTCAGACGCAGAGGTCCCGGGTTCGATTCCCAGTGGGGACAGATTTTTCTGTTCGGTTTGGTTGGTGGAAGGGCTTGTTCTAAGTCCGCCTGGCTAGCTACCACCATCTTACCTAAGTTTGTCGCCATAACAACAATGTTAACAGCATTGTTGTGTTCCGGCAGTTAGAGGTAAGATAGCCAGTTCCTCCGTGGTTGAGGATTCCGAGTGAAGCTCGCTTCCACCTTCGGCCTGATCGTCACTTACCATCAGGTGAGATACAGGCCAAGAGCTTCCTCGTTGTGGATATAAAAAAAAAAAAAAAAAAAAAAGTGTCTTTATGAAATTGTTATTGCGATACGATGCGGGCTTCGCCAAGGCCCGTCCATCGTGTCACGAACAAAGCATTGTAATATGAACTCTTTCACAATAGCAATAAAGTCTACGTGCCATATCTGTCACATACCTTGCTCTGCTATCTCCCTCGTCCTTGTACTTGGTGCGTATTTCGTCAAGGGCGGAGATGAGCTGGTTGAAGGTCTCTCGGTCGATCACGAGGCAGGTGCAGCCCTCTGGCGAATCGCAGATGATGTTTGCCGTTCGGAGGTCGTCCCTGGAATATGGGAAAGCAAAAATAAGAACACTTTTTTAACACAAACAATCATAATACAGTGTTTTACAATCCGCTAACTTTTGCCTGTCTAAGGCACAAGGGGATCACCAGAATTTTGATCGATCACCGATCTGGTTTTAGTTTGAAATCGCGTGCAGGTTTTTCTATTGGTCGGAGTTACATTAATCGAAAAAATAATTTTATACTGTCTTTTTCATCGTATTAAAAGCACCATTAAAAATAATAGTTTGATATAGCTGTTATTTTATGAATTACCTGAACTTGCACATAAAAAAGACAAAAAAGTAGATAGGTTTAACCACTAACAAAAAGTTATCGAAAAACCCCCAATACCGTAGTCTTTTAATCATCATTAGATTCCGTGGATTATGGCTTACCTACCAATTGCCACAGATATTTTATTCATTACACGTCACGCGATTAAAACTGCCGATGGAACTACAAAAGGTCTATCTCTTATACCGAAATTCATCAAAATTTGTTCGTAGCGTAAAATATTAGAGAGACAGTTACTTTCTCATTAATAATATTAGTAAAAATCGTCCGTCAAACGAATAATCGAATCCAGCGCACAACGCACTACCGATTCGCGATGGCACTAATTTGGCTTCGATATCGATACGTACCCTTGCAATGCCTTTTCTCCGAAGAAATCGCCTTTCGTGAGAGTTCTAATGAATTTCTCGTCGTTACTGTTGGGCTGTTTCTGGGTCACTTTGACCTGAAAAAGAAAAATTATTACCATTAGCGGAGTTTTGTTAAAATTAGATAAGAGGTGGAAGGATGGCCACAACAAAGCACATATTATATGCTATTTTGGCTGTGTATCTTGTTGATTTTTCTTAATTCTACTACGAGTAAAAGGGACCTTAATGTGTACAAAACGAGATTAAAAACATATTTTCAGTTAAGATCCAGTTTTACGTACTGAATCAAAAATGTGTAAAAATATGTTTTAGCATTTACAAACATTTTATCACATTAAAGTCTACTTTTTCTATGGCAGGCTCAAGTTGCTTAATGAAATCAAGATATTTTTAAATTTTTAAACTTTGTACTGAATAGGTAAGCTAGACGACTGGAAAGACCATCAAACTAGTAATTTTATGAAACAAGTAACGATCCTACGTTACTTGTTTCATAAAATGTGGGACATTGAAAGTGGTCATCACATAATGGCGTACATCGCGATAAAAATGTAGGTAGGTATCACAACCGCAGTATGTTGGGTTTTAGCTTTTTTTCCTACAAAGTAAGCAAGAATAGCTCATTTTTTTTTTCATAATATGATTATAGTCTCTGTTAATTCTTGTCTCGAGATATAATAACGTGCAACCACTTAGATGTAACCATAAATATTATCTTTATGGCCTTAATTTTTATGAGATGGTCGACGCACACGAATGGCCTCTGCCAAAAATAAGAAAAATGGTAGGTCACGTTTATGTGGAAATTGTTTTCCATCAACCAACTTCTTGATTGCGTCCAGAACAGTGGTCAAAAAGCTCGTATCTCAGGATTTAAATGCCCAGGTCAAACTATATTTGAGGACCAAAATAAATCGAACGAACATTGTAGTAATTGAAATAAAAAACTGCTTAGTATAGAGGTCGTCATTCATTTTCCGCCAGTCCATAGGTTAACGTTCACAGTCAATAAGTTTTGTGTATCCTTGTACCTTAACAAATTGCTTTAAAAATTGATCGTCAGTTTATAAAATATCTACGTTTTTCATTCAGACGTCTCGCTCTAATACCTGCTCGTCTGGAATTTGTAACATTTGTAAGCCCATTCACGGAAGTGTTCTACAACGTTACAAGTCAAAAACAAGCAGTCAAAGAAACTCAAACATCAGTGAGATAACGACGGAAATGGGTGAGATAATGCGCCGTGAAGTAAGACGGACAAACTGGACTGTGTCAAAATACCGGCAAGTTAGAACTTTGTTTGTTTTGGGGTTCCGATTGAAAAAAAAAATCCGATCTTCTTCTTTTATATGAGCTTAGGAGGTGTTACGAGCCTTGTTTTGATCTTCTTCTGTTTTTATTCTAACAATCAGGTTTATTCAAGCCCCTGTGTCATTTACTAGGAAAAAATGCACCTGAAGTAAACACTTATTTTTCATTTTCAGCCCTAAACTTACAAAATTATGTGCAGTGTGCACATTCCGTCACCTACAGCTATGCTCTAAACACTATTTTCATCAGGTAAGTGTGTAATATCTCGATCAGAAATTCTCTTCCTAGGTCATTAAAGACCAGTTTTGATATGTCAATGTTGATTTTTCTTTATTTTAACAGTTAAGTACCTGAATGTAACTTGTAAGGAAATGCGCGTTCTCTTAAGTCACATGCTACAGTGAGTGGCAACAGTTCTTAATGATGTTAATTTAATACCATATCAGCATCAATTAATTACGTGGTTCCAAGGACTTTTGAAAGCTTTGTAAGTTGAATTACAGTAATTTATTATTTCTATTTTAACGGCAAGATATATTTTTATTAGTACAAGCGCGATTCCTTACTCAAAGGAATATTTTTATTAGTAGGTAGGTACAAGCGCGATACCTTACTTTGTACTTATTTTCTTTTTGCCCGGGAAAAGCCATGAGCATAAGCTGGTTTACAATAAGAAGAAACTTGTTATTGGTTCAGTGATTGTGCAATTTTTTTTAAATGTAATATGATTTTTAAAATGGAAAATGTGATATAATGTATCGTGGTGAGCTCAATCGTGACACAAGCATATTTAGCTTAGTACGAAGGGCTAACGGGACTATTAGTAATTTGTGTAATATCAAATTAGGTACTTTAAAAAATAAATGTTTATCCAAATGTATGGAAATAAATCCTACTTTATAAAAAATAATGATGTTTAAGTATATGGAACCCTAAAAACTACGATTCAATCTGAATTGTACAGACGACAATACAGTCTATTTTCTTTTTCTTCCAAAATCACTCCTATTACCACTACTTAAGATATCAATGTTTCGCTTGAAGTGCTTTAAGACGAGTTACCTTATTAGCCTCGGGTACCCAAGTCATCGTACTCGATTACGCGGATATTTATCTTGTATTATGGTTTGGACTTCACCTCGGGGTAATTCGCACTTTCTCTTACTTTGATTCAATAAATTATTTCTCGTTTAATAGCTTTTTGCGGTAACATCCATTGACTTTATTAATTTCGAATGGAAGTTGTGTAATACATATGTTTTTGGGTTCGTTAGAACGCGTTGTTATCAAGTTTGATTGGCTTTTTGCAACTTTGACTTGTAAAGATTGTAAAACATATAAGTTTACTACCAAGCTTGTGACGTCATAATGCTACTGCCTTCATTGTGCTTGTGACGTCATCTTTTGATAAGAAAATGCACCATAAATAAAGAGATCTAATAATAAGCTCTAAGGGTAAAGCAGCGATATGATTCTGCACATAAACCAAAGAACTTGTGAAGACCTAGATCTTGAAAAATATACTTTTCTCATTTATTGAAAGTCGTAAATACAAGACTAATTAATGATTTCTACAAGTAGTAAATTAATATCAGACACAGCCAGTAAAAGAAAGAAGAAAGATAAAATTAATAAATCACCAATGCGGTTAACAACAATGTATCTCGATCCAATGACTGCCCGTCTAATAGAATCATCAGTACCGATGATATTGTATAAAGAAACCACTAAGCACTTCATACAACTCTCACACTAATGCACCGATATAATTGCAAACTAATTATGACAAAAACAGAAGAATGCTGGTTACGTCATAATGACATCGCTTTCGTCTTCATAGAGTTCAGACAGAATTACCTACACGCAGATTTATAACTTACGAGGATCATAACATGGGCCAGACTATTATTATGGAAATCCATACATGTCATGTTCTTGTAGTTCAGGAAAGATCTGGGAGATAAGAAAAACGCGTGAGTCGGTGCCTCAAGATCGGCTGGCCTAACTACAGCTACTAAAAGCAATATACATTTTCATAAGAAATATTCAATTTACATGAGATCTTAATAAAGCTAAAGATATTATTTATATGCGTACACGAGCGTGCAATATCAATTAAAGTCAACGTCATTACATAACCAGCGTATTATAATCATGGAAGTATGGAACTGAGCAGAAACGATTAACGAACAAAACTTTTGAAAAGCAATGAAAAGGTAAACTTGTTAAAACATTGTAGTTCGTATCCCAAAACAATGGAAAACTGTAATCAATCTTAAACTTATGTACCTAGATCCATGTCCTTGATTGGCTGAATTTCAGTACCTACCTATTCACTATAATATTCAGTTCATTTATGCTTGAATATCAATCAATCTTTGAGCGTTGCGTGGTTTTGTATACGGGCCTAACTGACAAAACAAAGTTTTTTTTCATATAAACTTTACATCACATCACTTTATGCTCATAGAGTCGTAATCTACGTATATCGTGGTACGATTCCCACAAAAGTACTAAAAAAAGGCCTCAAAACACCGAGTACCCTCGGTGCGCTGACCTTGCGAGCACAATGGTCCGGCTTTTGGCCTTAAGCCTATGCGCCCGCGCCGCACTCACATTGACAGCAGTTTCCAATGGCTGGCCTGTGATACCATCGATTCGCGGTATTCATTAATATTCTATTAAAGACCTTTTGGAATGCTTTTATGTGACTTGCAGTCTGGCAATAACAATTAAATGTGAAATAAATATTAGGTACATTTATGATGAGATTGATAACTTCTGGTTTTAAATTAACAACTAATTATGGAAATTTACTTCAAGATATGAGTGGGTTTAAACACATGGAGATATGACCTTACCAGTCAGTGTTAAAGTCAAATAAACTACTGATCTATAAACTGAAATTAATTATAGGATAATAAATAACGGTCATTAACATGCACAAAGCAAAAACTAATAAAGAATATCAACAAAATGCAATAAATAATGGACACTAACAAAAATCTGCAGAAATATACATTCAGTTAAATGCCAAGGTAAACCTCTTATACAGTCACTGGGTCTACATAAACTTAAACTGTCTACCCACACAGACAGACGAAAACCACTTATACAAAATTAAATCAGTGTGTCGATTTGTCAGTGACCTTTTCACTATTATACTTCTGCATCTTCTAACTCGTATCATAAAATGTGATTGATTGATTCTTGTTTCTCAATCAGTTGCATTAACTACGTATATTTATTTAAAACTTATTGCCCATATTATATAAAAGACGACGTCGTCTGGTATTTTGAAATAACTACAGCTTTTTTATCAAGAATAACATTTATTTCTTTACGCAGACCCATAAACTTTATATAAACGTAGCCTGAAAAATCAGTAAATTTAAGTTTTCTATCATTTCTTTTGCAGCGCTATTAATTTTCGAAACACCACGGGAATGCAGCGGTCGGAAGCTAGTATAGTGCTTATGAATATTAACTTAATATCCAAGTGAACTATCTCCGCATTTTAGAAAGCTAATGTAATTCAAATCAGTTATTAAAATTAAATAACTACGGTTTGCAACCGTGACCGAAAGAAATGTTGCGTCATAAAAGACATTTTGAAAGCGCAATTGTTATGACGTATAGTAATCTGTAATCAAAATAATATTATGATGGCCATAGAATTGTGTTTATAAAATACAGAGCCGAAAAATACAGAATGGTATACACTAGCTATTTTTTGGCATGTTTTATTATCTGTCTGTATCTGTTTATAATGAGTATTTTTATTTTTCTAGGTTTATGAGTGTCGTTCTCCTGCAGTGGAGTCTAAATGAGCTGATGGCGATGATGAGAGAGCTTGAGAGTGACAAACGCAGTAAACGCCTTTTTTATGTTTTTTTTAATCGAAAAAATGCAATATAATGAAAATAGCTTTCTGAAATCTATCGACTATTGTTAAATAATGTATCTCTCTTGACCTCAATCTTTAATTCTTTCTCTATTATTATCACAAAGTCTGTGTTCTTAGTGTGCACTAGGCTTAACATCGTCCGAGGCAGACGAGTCTGGAAAGTTGATATAAACGAAAGTGAAACTGTTTACTCTCGTATTAGAGAAGATGGCTCAACGAATATTTTATATTATCGCGTCATCGTAATAAACTACTACATACACGTTGTAATGACCTTTTTAACAACCACTACATATTAGGTTGCTACTCGTTGACATATGAAACTAGCACTTCTAAGAATTGTAGAACTCCACATGCCATCGGTCTTATTGCTGAATTGAATATTTCAATTGTATCTTGAGATATTTTTTCACGTAATTATACTTTTAAAGCTAGCATTAATAAACATTTTCATACTCTTTCAAAAAATACCCTTGAAATATTGCATTAATAAAATGTTGTTCCGAGTTCCGACGTAGAAAGTCGTAAGTGCAAAATACAATGTGCAAATTACCTGTCCCTTCGAGATGATGAAGAAAGTGTCACCCCGCGCCCCTTGCCTGATGATGTAGTCGCCGTTCTGGTAGTGTGTCTCTTCTAGCACGTCGGAGATCTTTATGAGCGTGTCCTCTGGTAGATCTTTGAAGATTGGGACGCTGTGGACAAAGAAACGGGAATATTAGGCTTTATCACTTTAAAAATTTTATATAGACTATAGATAATCCCTAGTAAGTAGATTGTTTTTTTCATATACATACATATCACCTCACCCATTTGAATCTATAAATAGACCTAAGTCTCTACAACTCCTACAAAATAAGGTACAACCTATAACTACAATTAAATGAAAAGTAGGCGCTCAACCGTTCTTGTCCCGTGCGTAAGGCAGTAACTGCGGTGAACACTACTCTTTGCGAAGAGAAATTGTTTACATCCAACTTATAAAGGCTAAATGTAATAAAATAACAATTATAAGATACAAATAGGTACATAGGAGAGCTTTAATTGAACTTGGAGAAATTGATAATTTATCTTAAATTAATGCTTGTAGCTAATAACAACCCAGCAAACTAAACTATGTATTTGAATCTTGAGCTCATAAGCTATAACTCTTTGCTACATTGACTTAGTTTTATTACACGAACAAACAATTTTATTTACATGTAGAAAAAGTGCATCACGGAACCCTACACAGTAGTCTGAGTAAACGTTACGCATTTACGAGTAGAAAGCTGCCACTGCCGTGAGCATTATGGAATCTTCCACCGATTACAATCTCTGAAGAATGTTATTATTATCCTTAATCGTTTCTTTAAGTATTGCCCTGATTCTTTAGTGACAATTAGTACATTGTAGCCTACATTTCTTCCGCATTCCGTTGTCCTAAATTGACCAATACTGAACCGTCCCAGCTATGACAGAGAAGCGTCAAGTGAAAATGTTAAGTAATAACCTGGGTTATTAGTTGCAATATCTGCCACATGACGTTTCAGAATCCTTTGACTTTATCACACACGGCCATCCACACAAGTATCAGCAGATTCTTCATAAAAACTAGAAGACGACCAAACTGTCGGCTGACAAAGTTTGTGGTATGCGGGAACGATTATATTATATGTACCAATTTTAATTCTTATTGTTAAAAATTAAGTCATAACTATAACTTACAATATAATGCAATCATGTAACTATTTATTTAAGTAGTCCGTGACGTAAGTTGTATTAATAATTAAATTATCAAAGCAACAAATTGTGCTATAAAGAACAAATAATTGCATAAATACATAAAAATATAGATGATTAGTGATTACATAACATAAATAGGTATATGAAGCTCGTCTTTGTCAAGATTTTTATTGTAAATATTATAAATGGTTAACGTAACAATTAAATGATAAGATTAACGATTCAATAAATTATAAAGGTGTAAAATTAGAATAAGTAATACATCATATTCCTAGTAGTAGGTTGTTTTTCATGTCATAATTTTTCAGACAGATTCCTTTCCTAATTAAGTTCCAATGATGTTACCATAATCAATCAACAAACTAGTCGACCAAGATACTAGCAGATTAAAACAACAGATGCTAAGAAAAATGGTTGTTTAACTAACTGCTGTCAGTTGTTTGTTACATTTAGGATCGCAAAGATCAAACAATTCGCCTTGTTATCCCGCTTGCAGTTCAAAAGAAGTGCATATACATACATTGCAAATAAAGACGTAGTTAGACTACGTAAATTGTGTCGACATCGTTCGAGAAAACTTTATATTACCACAGAAGTGAGCGAGCCTCTTACTAGAGCAGAAACGTGCTTTGTTTAATAAGCATTATGCACCCAAAAAAGTACGTGAGGAATATTTTAATTGAGATGATAAGATGTCTTGACAGTGGGATTGGGAGCGAACCTGTAGCAAGATTGAATGACTAAAATCCGTAGGTTACCTACTGACTGGTAAATAAAACCAAAGATTTTTTTTTTCAAAATTCATTAACATGGGACATTTTAGAGAAACGGAAAATGGAAATTGTTGATGGAAACGTCACGTCCTAAAAGTTGCATCGAAATAAAAGTAATGGCCAGGCAGACATGGGGAGACAATAGAAAAACAAGCAAGAAAATAAAATATTTTCATTAAGATAATGGTCCATTATTAACTTATTCATCAATTTCAGAACGCTATGAAAACTAAAGCATGTTGATGATGAACAAACAATGACGTAAGTGCATTATTTATGGCTAAATGTTAGATGACGTAACGTTTACGGATGACGACAAATCAAAGTAAACATTATGGCACTGGTAGCTCATAATAGGAGCGATTTTGCAATGAAAATATAAAGTTTAAGTACCTACCTACATAAATAACAATAATAAAACTGTATGAATTTTACACTGTTTTAAATCAATCCGGTTACACCTACTAATTGAAAGTGAACAAAAACAGGTTTTTCAATAGACAAGTGTTAATTTCCTTATTATGAGTCACCAGGTTTGAACTAAAACCAGTTTGACTCCAATAGTGTTATGAAATGTAATAGATTTTACGTCTATCTATTTTTAGATTGATTGAATATTTTATCAAAAATCGACGATTTAATCGATATCAAAACGATCAAAATCTTATTGGGTTTTAAAAATATTAAATAATACCTACTGTCATTGTCTGACAGGCAACAAGTAAACTTTTAATTTTTAGATTAAAAATCAATTAAAAATAGTTTGATTTGACCTCATAATTTGAACGGCAGTTTTCTCTAACGACCTAGGAAAATAAACAATGTTACCTACATTTTAAAAGTGAAACATAAATAATAGATGTAGGATTCGTGAGCAAGAGTGCTTAGTTAAACTACCAACTCGTTTTTAATATTTAGAACAACGTCGTATCTGCACTTAAGTAAATTTTCAGCGGAAAGATTTTAGCAATTAAACAGGGTAATGTGGTGCAAGCTATAATTCTGTTTTGCTATCTATACCTAACTAACGTGTTCAACCTGCCTGTGTACCGTCAACAAAACAGTACCACTAACTGTCCGCCACAGAGGCTGCGAACGAAAATTGCTTAGAGCATTACAATTTTCACGGTCACCACATGTGACCTATTTGGAACCTAGCTCTAGCTGTATACCGATTTTTTTGCTCAAATTTTCGTGCCAGTATTTTTATTTCTGTTTTTAATACAAAATATACAGTGCACCCATTGTCAGTCTTTCAAACAGACCATAGTTACAATATCTGTATTTATGATATTATTGCATTGAAGTAAAGACATTTTTGACAGTGTGGTGGTCGGAATAAAGGAATGACAGTTATAGTGCGACAAGGCTATTTTGTATGTAGAGTTTAGGCTGAGTTGCACCACCTAACTTTAACCGTAACTGTAACGACAACCGGTATTTTTGTATGGAGTTTGACAGATTTTTGACGTTTACTAAAGTAAAATTAAGATGGTGCAACCCAGCCTTAGAATATCATTACCGAAGGAGGGAATGACAGTAATATTGATGTTGATTACTAATAGTATCTAGAGGCCTGTGAAAAATAACACCTTTTAAGTATAATAATTTTCTCTTCAGTAATCGAGTGAGTTTTTCTATTGATTTCTCACAACACGACATCCATCAACTTTTTATACCAAATTCTGACATAGACTTGAGATACAATTAATTAATTAATGTACTAATTAATCGTCCATCAACTGTTTTGAAAATCAATTACGATAGATTAATAATTATATAAAGACAATCACTGATAATTAGATCCTCAAGTGTGCGAGTTATAAGAGAAGTGGATTTATTATTTACTTTATTAATAAAGATTTCTAGTTTAGATATTATGCTCTTGGCAAAAACAGCTAAATGTTATTTCACAGTAAAATAAACTATATTGAAAATGACAAAGGCACAACAGTGACTGTCATTTTACCAACTTGGACACTGGAGTTTATTTAAATCGAAACAACTTATTGCAAAAATAAAAACATGAACTGCATAAACAGAATTCTTGTTAACGATATTTCAAGAATTTTGCAATTCGTATTCTATCTAGGAAATCATTTACTTCCTACATTAACAGAAGTTGACATAATATATCGGAATCTTAACCTTGTTAAATGCATTCTAACAACCTTCGGATTTTGTTAGGATATTTATACAGATTTTATTTGTTGGGAAAACTTATATTACTACATGGTAACTTTTACTGTAGAGCCTTCATAAATATCGGAAAAAATATTATCTCGTAAGAAAATGTAGGTAGTAATTAAATGTTATAATAAATCTACAATCGGCATATCACTATTCATAAGAAGAATAACAAGCTATTCTTCTAAATTTATTGGTTATTATTATTTTTATTAAAAACAACATGTTACGTTTGATCTATAAAAATGTACTGCATTGAGGCCACTTGTATGCCGACAATTAAAAAAATAAATATTTTTACCACGGGCTATGAATCATTTTGATTAATAAAAGATAGATATTTATTCGACGGACAGCACTTTAAGCTAAATAGTGAAGCATTTCGGTTTCAATAAGTGCGATTTTTGCAACAAAAATTCGTAAATATGCGGCGACCGTAAACAAAAGACTAACTTATTAATATTGGCGCGAATTTTCACAAGCGTCTGACGTTCAACATTGACATCTGTCATTGTCACCTGCCTGACATCTTTAAGTAGCTGTCAAAATCTAGCACCTTCAGCATCTTCTCAGCACTTGCCAAATGTTGGTCTCGAAGCGCTGGTAGGGTAAAAAGATTATGAGACATGTAGAGGCTCCTTAAGAGCAAAATGACGATTTGTAAGAACTATTTATTAGTCCAAACAAATAAAGAAATTTTGACTTTGACTTTGACTTTAGCTATTTGGTAACTGTTGCGTGTTCTTTACAAAATTATCACAGTATTCATTCATATAATAAAAATAAAATAATTTATTTCGTTTACAAGGTTTCTTGAGTACCTAAATAAGTAGATTGGAACCTCCATTTAAGCAAAAAAAAAAATGCCTGTGGTTAGGGAGTCCGCTCTTCCATACACGTATACATTTTTATTTAACATTATACACTCGCGAGCAAAACTATGGAATCACTTACATGAAGTTGTTTCCACGCGATCTTGTGTACTAACGAATTTGTTAGTAACAAAAAAA